ACAGAAAGAGGGCTGCTATGGTCACTTGCTGCTTTGCTTCTTCACTATGCTGCTTTACTGCCTTCTGCCTGCCATCAACTGTTTTTCCTCTGTGATGCCCCTATGCTATGCCACCCTGTCTTGGGGCTGACCAAATATGAACTGAAAACTCTACAAAACTGTAAGCCAAAAACCTTTCCTCCTTTACCTTTGGGTGTCAGATATTTTGTCTCAGCAACGAGAAAAGTAACTAAGATAGCCTTCATGAGGCAAAGCAACTTACTTTATTCTTCATTAATCCTTACTTCCAAAGCATCCTCCTTTGCACCTCTAATACACCTGATCACAGTTTTCCTTTTAAGAGTGTCATTTCTGCAGGATCATGCACTTCAGGATAAAGAAGGATAAAGGAGCTCAACTTTCCTCATCAAATTGTACTCCCACTATGTGTTTTGGAGAAAGCTTAGTACTTAGCAGTCCTCAGGAAATATTTATAGCATTACCCTATTGCTTTACACCTTAAATAAAAATGCCCAAAGAGGTGAGGTGTTTATATCCCTGTGACCTTCACCCACTTAGAAGACATTTGCAAATTGCCATAGATTGAAAACTTCACTTTTGCTCTTTAAAGATAAACAGAAAGCTTCACATTGTCTGCAGTGGCGGTCCTTGCTAGAAAGCTTTCCTTGGTTCAATAGTCTTCTGCCGCTGTGAATAGAACATCAACATAATTAACATAAGAATTCCTTAGAGGACAATTTTAGATGAAACCACATTTAATCATAGGTAATTCCTTTATTCCCCAAGATGGTACTAACTTTCCAACTGGGGATATGAAATAAGTCAAAATCTCTACAAAGTAAACCCATTTAAATGGAAATAGTATAGTCTTTTAACTCTGAGAAGTAAAGAATTATTTTGATTACTTGTCCAAAAGAAAGGTAAACCAAAGGATCAAAGTATCCAAACAAACTCAATGAGAAAAAAAAAAATGAGAACCAAGACCTGTCATGTAAAGGTACAAGATCCCAATGATGAATGTAACTGTACTGTATACCTAAAATGTACCAATAAACTCAATGAGAAAAAAAAGCATCCAGAAAAAAAACACAAGTTTTGGCAAGTTCTGTGTTTCTAAGTTTTTGGGTGAAATGGCAGTATTCTTTGGAAATGTTTTACTAAAAAGAAAACCATAAATCAATATTGGCCTTTCATTTGTAAGTATTTTGCTGGTAGCCGAGTAATTTGTTTCAATTCTAAAATTTTCTATGGCCTCAATCCATGGTATTGAGAAGATAGGATCAGTATGCACAAAGCCTCCACACTGCAGGGAATCGATATATATGTATTAAATGAAGCAATGAGTGCTCATTGATTTGACATTTGTCTAGGCTCCAAGTATGTGATGAGTAACTTGTAGAGTCATAAAGGATGACTAAGAAGTAGGCAGTAGTTCTTCACTGGATTTTTAAATTAATTTCACTTTTTCCACTTAGCAACTCACTATTCTCATTCACATGTTTCTAGCATTGCCACACCACCTCGCTTGTGGCAGGTGTTGTATGTGCCACACATGACCAGGCTGTGAGCAGATGATCTCTTCTCTAAAAACACCGTTTCTGAGTTTTCCTAGTTGGACATCATATTCGGAAGTCATCCTCTGGACAATATCTTATCATTTGGCTCTAAATGCTTCATTCCTTGCCACAAGGCTGCAATCTGTATTCTTTTCATTTATTCCAGAAATCTCTGTGTTGCATCTCCTATAAATACATTTTTTAGTTTATAGGATGCGAGTATTTTTAGACTAACAGATATATTTTAAGTATATTTTTAAGCCATTAACTGCTCATATATAGACAATTTAGATTTGTGAGCATAATTATACTAGTTTAATAAATAACAATGCATTATTAAGCATACTTAGGAAGATTAATGATTGCTTAGTGCCTTGCCTTAATATCCAGCATGAAAGCGTTTACAGTAATAACCATCTGTTTTAATTTATATTCTATTTTCTTATCTTTTTTCCTCATAAAAACTCAAAAAATAACCCTAAAACTATGAATATCCATAGCAAGAAAAACAAATACTTAGTGACTATTCCTTTAATGTCTCTAATATCACCTCATTTGTGGTCATGCTGCTTTCTGTACATTTCTAGCAATATGAGCTTGTGGAAGAAAGAAAATGAAAAGATTATCTCCTATCTTCAGGCTTGCACTGTGATTAAACACTGCTAGGAGCTTTACCTTGACCTATTAATCCTCTCCTTAGATGCAGGAGTCTATTGCGAGGCTGTTTCCTTGAGTTCTTATTCCCTAATGACACCGTTTGTATTTCCTGAAAAGAACATTATAAAAATAGTCCCCAGTGTGAAGCCTTATTAATATCCCCACCCTCTTGTCTCCTGCAGGGTCCAAACACATGAATAGCTCTGGAGGGGCACTGTTCTAGAGTACAGCCGTCTTAAGTGTTCAGGATTTCTGATGTATAGGTACTTTTTCCTATTAATATCTACTTCAAATGTTGTCTTCCTTATCTTCAGGCCATTTCCTTGTCTACATGGAGATTTAGAATAATTTCCTTCCTCCATTACATTTTTTTCCTTGAAGGTATTTTATAATCAGAGTGCATGTTCCTCTCTCTGAAGTTCCCTTGTTTCAGGCAAAATATATTAAATCTCTCTAGTCTAATCCTCTGAATCTTATGTTACATCACTTGTCTCATATATTCTCAGCGTGGAGATAAGAAAGGAGCATTATATTCTAATGGGAATATAAACCAGGGTGATTGTTGTCTTCCTCCTACTATGTATCTAATTTTTAAAATTGTTTTTAGTGTATGAATAGACTTAGTAATTTGGAAACCTAGTGCTACAGTAAATATAAAAATAGATTGCTGAAATGTTATGTATCTGATCTAAACCTTCCTATAAAAATAAGTAATTACCTCTTTGATTTATACTTGCTGTCATTATAAATTTGTAATTGTCCTGTTACACAATATACAAACTATAAATGTCATAGAAGTTTTGGGATACCCAAGAGAAACTTTCCATTTTACCTCCTTTCCTTTCCTTTCTGTGCTTTTATTTACTCTTCTTCAAAGTATACATTTCAATTTTTATTAGTATTATCACACTCTAAAGTCCTAGCATTTAATCTTTACTACCACTTACAAATATATTTAATATGTATTCATAAAAATTCAGTAATCATATTGTTATTAAAGAGGAAAAGACAAAGCAAGGAAAAACAAGGTTTTAAGAGGTTATTTTAAGATCACAGAGATTATAAAGATATATCAGCCACCTGGAATAATTTTTAAATGTTATTCAGTTAATAATTTCTAATGGTCAAGGAACTTAGTTTTGCTTCTTGCCTGAATGTTCTCAGGAAATTTTTTTTGTAAGTACATACACTAATATTCTAAAGTTTTATGTAAAGGCAAAATAACTAGAATAGCTATAGTTTTGAAAGGAAAAAAGTGAGATAGGAAGACCCACTCTATTCAGTATTGAAGCTTACTATAGAGTTACAATAATCAAGCAAGTGTTCCATTAAAAGGAAGATGGGCACATAGATCAGCGGAACAAAAGGGAGTATTCAGAAATAGACCCACACAAACACATTCAACTGATTTTTGACAAAGGTCTCAAACCAACTTTATGAAACTGGTAGACATCCATTGGGAAATAAAATAAAATAAAAACCTCAACCTAAACCTCTCACTTTATATAAAAGTTAACTCAAAATGAATGTGGATTTAAATGTAAAGTTATAAAACTTTTAGAAAAAAACAGTGGAAAATCTTTGGAATCTTAAGAGGATAAGAAGAAAAGCTAGAGTGGAAGACAGTATTTGCAAACCATGTATCCAAAAAAGGACTGATATCTATAATAAAGAATGCTCAAAAGAACAGTAGAAAAATCTAACAATACAGATTTTTTTGGTTTTTTGGGTTTTGTTTTTGTTTTTTTTGTTTTGTTTTGGGGGTTTTTTTGGTAACAGGGATTGAACTCGGGTCCTTATGCTTGCAAGGCAGGCCACCGAACCACTGAGCTAAATCCCCAGCCCTCAATAATACAGTTTTTAAAATGGGATAAAGATATGAAAGATATGAAGAGCCATTTCACCAAAGAGAGTATACAGATAATAAGTTAACATACTAAAAAAAAATATTTAACACCTCCGCAATGCGAAAATAAAAATTAAAACCACAATAAAATTATCACCACCTCTGTATTAGAATGATAAAACTAAAAAATAGCAACACCTAATCTGGCAAGAATGCAAAAAAATTCCATGATTTTTATATTGCTTGAGGGAATATCAAATGGTACAGCCACTCTAGAAAGAAGACTAATAATTTCTTTAAAAGCTAAACATGCAAATACCTTACTACTTAGTAATTGAACTCCTAGACATTTAGCTAAAAGAATATAAAGTTACATTTGCACAAAAACCTGCATACAAGTTTTAGCAGCCTCGTTTGTAATAGCCAGAAACTGGAAACAGTCCAGATGTCCTTCAATGGGTAGGTGGTAAAACAAATTGTAGAACATCCATACCATGAATGAACACACTGTTGATAAATTCAGCAATCCGAACGTCGGAAGAGTTATTCTGGGTTTTTTGTTTTTTTTTAAAAAAAAGCAATTCCAGAAGGCACCATACAGCAGGATTGTTTATATAACAACCTTGAAATGGAAAAAGTCATAGAAACAGAGTAGGTTATTAGTGGCCAGATTTGAGAATGGTGTATTCTGAATGCACAAATGTCAATATCCTGGTTGAGATATAGTGTTGTAGCTTTACAAGATATTATCATTGGGAGAAGCTAAGGAAAGGATAGGACGTATCTATTACTTCTTACAACTCCATGTGAATCTGCAGTTATCTCCAAACAAAAAGTTCAATTAAAAAGTGATTGTGTTAGTAAATTGTAAAGTTAAATATATCGAAAAGAAGGAAGTGTGTAAAACATTTATTTTCTCCTTTCTTTGGCTTCCCTGCCAGGTTTGAGGGGAGCAATCGCATTTGCCTTAGCTATTCGGAACACAGAATCTCAGCCCAAACAGATGATGTTTACCACCACGCTGCTCCTCGTGTTCTTTACTGTGTGGGTGTTCGGAGGAGGGACCACCCCGATGCTCACTTGGCTTCAGATCAGGTGAGTGGTACTGTTTACACTGGGAATCATTACGAGGCACGGCCGCCTTGTTCAGTTTCTACTACCGCACACTTGATCAGGACTATAATGGGAACTCTATACCATAATGATCCCTGCAATTAAGTTGACCTTCATCATAAGGTGAGATGATACGAAAACATCAACTGCACTGACTTTTCTGAGAGTCTTAGAAATCCTAGAATGTTGTCTGTTGACAATCTGTCCCTAGGAATAGGTTTATTCATCTATTAATTTTTTTGGTTCAACAATATTGGAGTACAGTGTGAAGTGCTATAGAGTTTACAAAAATAAGATATGTCGTCCTCAAGATACAAAGAGGTAATTATTTATTTTTATAGGAAAGTTTAGATCAGATACGTAACATTTCAGCAATCTATTTTTATATTTACTGTAGCGCTAGGTTTCCAAATTACTAAGTCTATTCATACACTAAAAACAATTTTAAAAATTAGATACATAGTAGGAGGAAGACAATAATCACCCTGGTTTATATTCCCATTAGAATATGATGCTCCTTTCTTATCTCCACGCTGAGAATATATGAGACAAGTGATGTAAAATAAAATTCAGAGGATTAGACTAGAGAGATTTAATACAGTCCAGTAGGATTGTTACAGAAAAAACAGTAATACCAAGGGGAAAGTGAATTTGTTTTGTTTTTAATTCTTTGTAGCACCTAAGATAGAAATAGGGACATGCGGAAAGTCTAAACATATTTGGTAGTGGAATTATATGTTTAACAAAAAGGATGCTATGGAGGCAAGCTGGATATTTTCTTACAGGAAAAGGAGGTCAAAGCTTCAGTCAGGGACCTTCTAATAAGCAATGCCTGGAAGCTGGTCGCTATAAACCTGATGTCTAGAGTAGCAGACAAGAGACAAAAATGGATAGCTGGTACCAATTGAGAAAACAGATTACAAAGCGTTTTTCTGTCTTTATTTAAATGTTTCTGTGACATAGACCTTCATTTTTATTTCTCAGAGGGTAACAATGATTTAGATAAATCACATTTATTTCTCAAACCCACACATCTTGATGATCAAGGAGACCCTCTTCAGTTCTGCCCATTCTCTAAGACAAATTCATAGCTTCCTCATCTGACAGGAAAAGATCTACCTAACTGGAAAAAGCCTTCCAAAAAGATTCTTGCAGACAAATACTGTTATTCCAGCACCTAGTATAGGGCCTGAAATATAATAGGGTTGAATAAATCATTTGTGAAAAATAAAATGCATATGGCCACAACCATATATGCTTTCATTAAGCATTTACAAATAATTTTCTATCCATTTGATAAACAGAAAGAATAAGCAGGCCTCACACATTTAGTATAAGAAAGCTTACATTTAAAGTAGGCCAAGTGGCTATGCATTAAACCAAATTCAAGGAAAAAAGGACTTGTCAAAGTACTGTGAATACTGCTAAACACATAAAAGGGCTTTGACTAAAGTGAATGCAGAGTGTTTTCAAATGCTTGTTGAATTATTTTCTACCCATAGAAAGGTGGTCTGCTATTTCTTTCACAGTGGGTTACCCATAGGCTCCTATGGATGAGTACACATATTGCATTAAACTCTATAGCAACAGATCCCCTGTAAATTGTTAGTAAGATAGTGCTGTATTCAGGTTTCTGGAAAACAAAATTCAGTAGGCTAGATCCATGCATGGGAAAATGAGGGCTTGGAAAGCAAAGGTTAGAGAATGCTGCCGTCCACAAAAGTATTGAATACTCTATTGTATAAATTGGAATATTTAGAACACAAGGTACAGATGTGAAGATTTTTTTAAGGTCATCATATCGAACGTGTTTTCTTTTATTTCTTTTTTTAACCTGAAGTTATCCCTGAGTCAGTAACATGTTTCATCCAAAGTGTTTATCTGTCTCTGCTATAGTGCTTTCCAAAGACAGCATTCGGCTTGCAACAAGTACAATAATTCATGTAGCCTCTTGATATCTGGTTCAGCAGTGAGAGGGAACTATAATAATGGTACTTTAGACAGTTTAGGATAATTATCCAGGTTATGAGACAGAGCCTAATTATGAAGAATAATGATGGTGGTCACAGTGTCCAAGGAGAGGTGTGTGGGGGTCGACCGCAGCCAGTGTCATCTCAGCCTGCCTTGGGGCACAGCGTGGAGTTACCAGGTCATAAAGATGCTCTATGGTGCTTGCCTCCGAATGGTTCAGTTGATTCAGTGCCAAACTTGGCCACCATCCAAGAAAGGAGAGGAGTATTGGCAGGGCTATGATGTAGTATTTAAAGAAAGGAACTGACAGGGCTTCAGTGTGTGAGCGAAAATGATAATCTCAGCTGATAACTAGAATGTAAATCTGAAATCAGCAGAAAGTTAGAGAGCCCAGAAGCCCATCGAGGAGGAAATAAAAGTGAGCGAACTAAAGTTCATAGATATGGAGACACTAGGAAGTCAACACAGGCAGAAGGATAAGGCAACAAGAACAAAACTAGCGGCTTTCGAACCCGAGTAAGCATCAGAAACACCTGGAGGAGTGCTTCAAACTCTGCTGCTGGGCAGCTGCCCGAAGTTCGGCTCCAGTAAACTGAAAGTGGAAGCCTGAGAATTTACATTTCTACCACATTCCAGGAAATGCTGATGCTGCTGGTCTCAAGACCATATTTTAGGTCTGCTGGTTTACCCTTTCTGTCTCCTGTTGGAGATGAAGCTGTGTTAAATACTGTTAGATTTGGCCAGGGTTACTCACAGCCAGGTGCATCTGAGCCTGAACACCTAAACTAGGGGAAGGTAAAGCTAGTGAAGGAGGAAGTGTCACAGTGCATGAAACAGTAAAAGAGAAATAAAACATAGCAGAATAAACATTAAAGACAGAACTGTAAATTAGTATATATGCAAGCGCACACACACACACACACACACACACACACACACACACACACACACAATCTGCATGACCTGAATTTAATTCAACTATGTTACAGTGATACCACCATATGCTCCACTTTCCTGTCTTGGTTTGTAATATTATCAGAGAAATTTTCAATTCCATTATAGCTGTCAAACTCGTAGCTCCCCGTCATTTACACTTTAGCAAAACTATTTCTGTTTACAGAGCAATGTCTCATTAACCAACTTTCATGTCAGACTCTTTCCATAAAATACCAGAATGTATGTAAATTGTAACTTTAATAAAATGACACAAATAGGGAAGCCTGAGGGGAAGGAATATAAATGTAATACTGAATAAACTCAAATATATGTTCTTGGCATGTGATAGTCTTATACACTTTACATGGCCATCCCTTCCTGATTCTATGGTTTTTTTTTCTCTTCATTTGTTATTTACGTACTTGAGCTATTTCTTATTTCTATAAAATTTTCCATTCAGCCACAAGCTACCACAGTAGGATGCAAATAAAATCTTTTATACAAAGCAAAAATTGGTGGAATTAATATGAATTGCACTGTGATAGAAATGACTTTAAAACAGCAATGATCCTATGCTTACAGAAATTCATAATGATCTTGATATATGAAACAAATTCTCCACTGATTAAATATAGTCCTAAGCATTCAAATGTCTTGTCTTGAAGCAGCTTAATTTTCTTTAAAAAGTAATAAAATGTTTAATGCAGCATTTGAAAATAAATTAGATGTTTCTCAAAATTCTAAAGAAAAATAAAAGACTTCTGTAACATTATTTTAGAGATTTTCATGTAAAATAAATCGAAGTGGCTCTTAATTAGAGTGCATATCTCTTCCCTCTCTAGAGGATATTAATACTTGCAGCAAGAGAAACCAATACATAGTCTCTGAGAACCTGCTCTTGTGTTAGGCAGGAAACAGAAGAGATCAAAGGCATCAAGCTTTGCCCTAGAGAGTCCAGTAAACAGAACTATCAACCAAATGATCACAAGTGCTTACAAATAAACATCAAAGACCAGGAGGGCCAAGCTCTCTGGCAGTGGTACAGATAATTAACTTTGGGAAGGTAAATTTAAGGTAGGACATTAAGTGGAGCTAACAGATTTTCAGCAAACGGTATATGAGAATGGAGCCCATACCACAGAGCAAACCTTCCCTGATCTGCCCTAAATAATTAAACCCTAGATGTTGGACCTTCAGTATATTCTCACTGAACCACAGATGGAAAGCCTTGCATACAAATGTAGAACAGAACTTGTCTTCCGGACAGCATTGAGGAAGTGACCTCTATAGCTACCAGATGTGGCCTCCAACCACTCTAACAAAAATAGCCAGCTTCTACTGAGTAATACTCTGTGCTAGATATTAGATAAAGCACCAGGCCTAGAACATCCCAGTGTCTCAGCCTCTGATCTATAAAGTGAGGATGATAATAATATTGCCTTCTATGATGACTGGCTATGTGGCATCATGGGGGGTGGGGGGTGGCTGCAGAACCAGGCTCCAGCCCAGACATCCTAAATCCGGGGTCCATTCACCTATCTAGTCCATTTTTCAGCCACCTGAGTGAATAAGATTATTCTGGATGCCTTCAGTCTACCATGATTAACAAATCCTCAGGAGAAAAAGAGATGTACTTTTATAACCAAGACAAGCCTGTTAAAAACAAACACAAGACATTTCATCCGTCCCAAATGATTGGACAGACTTGCTCATGCAGCACAGAAATTCTTTGGTACAGTGTTTCTCTTTAACCTGGAACAGCTAAAGGTAAACAAAGCCAACCCTAGTCCAAAGAAGCTAAGTGGGGACATTTGTCTTCCTTAATTGTAGGAATTTAGAATTATAGGAATTTGTCACCCTTGTGCCCATCTCTACACCATTCAGGATCCCAAACCTTTGTGTTGTTGGCTTTTTGCTCAAAACAACCAGAAAAAAAAAAGCACACACTGGCCTGTGTGTATTGCAGAGTAATAACTTTTATATAGTGTGATGCCTACAGTATCAATATTTTAGGTTCATATTTAAATCCTATTTTTGGCTTGTGATCAAAACTTATCTTAGAATGCTTTCTTTTT